GGGGAGGACAAGCTCATAGATTGATGACTCCAATGTTCACATGTACATTGACTAGTAAAAAAAAGTAACTCCATATATTCTGGTTATTATCTGAGTCAAATTTTAAAAGACAATCAAATTGTGGAAATCTCAATTCCATTAAGGAGGACCAAGAATATGTTTAAATATTAGCAAGAGGAGCTGCAACTCGTGTCAACTTATACGTAGTTCCTCCGGTCGCGAGCTTGTTGTAGTCGGTCCTAAGGGGAGAATGCCTCAACCCAAAACTAGTTGAGTTGGCTATATGAATCCCCTATATTCATCCTTCTATTTGGACCTATTTCACCCCAATACTAAACAATTTGACTGTTAAAGCAAATTAGTGGTTCTCCAAAACTATATATTCTTTAAATCAAACACTGATGCCAAGCAAAATTTGTCTGTGAATGAATCAACTTCAAATCAGTTTCATCAAAATGTACATATAGTTATTCACAATTCCCTTCCAAATAAGCCAAGCTACAGAATTTTTCAAAAAATCGCATCTAGTGGCAGCTAATAGAAAGATGTCCTTGTACAGTGAGTGGTATCTTAGCTTCCATCAATCTGATGGAAGGGAGTAGACACTCGGTGCTTCAAGACAAACATGGAAGTACTCAAAAAAATCAATTATCATTGTATATGATGCATTTTAGGGATGTCCTATTTTCCTATAAAACATAAGTTATACTATAGACCAATCAAAATCCCCAGATACTGTTTCAAGCATAACGACATCCACCACTCCCACTAATGTCTATGCAACCATGTGGAGTTGGTATAGTCACCATAGCACACAGGTTTCTCTCAGCTAAATTCTGAACATCTCAGATATTGGAAATTGCAGAACATTTGTGACCAATATCATAATTGTCATGATTCTCATGAAGATAAGAAGATAAAATGACAGAAACTTGCGCATATGAGATAGGAAGAAAAATTGGAAGGCAAAACTCTATAATACCTCATTCTCTGGCAATTGAACTCCAATGATGCCAGTGATGTAGGACAAAGGCACGTTCATATTGTAGATTGAGAGATCAGGATATACAAATGATTTTCCATCAGGATATGTTACTTTAACTGGTTCAACTTCAAACTTCCGCTCACAGTACACTGAAAACATAGTTACCTGCGGATAACATTTAATTATTCAGACACCCAGCAAACTGAAGGAGGAAAAGAAAAAGAGCCCCTCAGCTTCTTCTATTCCTACCATTGTGTTCAAAACAACATTGGCCTTCGTCAAATCTGTGGCTGTACATTCTATAAACACGTTCTTTGTTTTCAATGTAATGGCCGAATGTGCACCGTTGATAATGGGGGGCAAAGACAAAACAGTCCTGCAGAACAGAGAGAGAGAGAGATTAATGAGTTGAAGAAAGTAGAGCCGTCAATATGGGCTTGGCCCGTTGAGCCAGCCCAGCCCGTGATTTAGCAGGGTTGGGCTAGAATTTTTGGAGCCTGTATAAAAATGGGGCTTTTAAGCCCGGCCTGAGTAAGCCCGTGGCCCGTGAGGCTCGCTGGGCTGGGCTGGCCCGTGGGCCTAATAAAATATTTATTTAAAATATATAAAAATAAAAAGTATACTGCCTCTAGAGATGGAAAGTCAGAATTGGATCTTTACTAAGAGGAATCAAAACTTGATCTTGAGAAGTTTCAAGAGATGGATGTTGTCATGTATTGGAATGACCATTCTAGAAAATACCCTGATCTTTCAGTGATGGTGCGTGATGTACTTAGTATTCCTATTACCATTATAGCATCGGAATCAACATTTAGCATTGGTAATGCATTTTTACAAAGTACAGAAGTTGCATTTATTATGAAAATGTCCACACACTAGTTACTACTCGAAATTGGCTGCACAGCTTTTCTCAAACTCAAACTAGTAATATTTTTTTATGTGGATTTAAATATCATTAGTTTTTAGAATTTAATTATTCTTAATATTTAACTAATTAATATTGCATATGAATTGTAGATGTAGATGAAAGTGAAGATGTTAAGACAACCTTGTCACAAGCGGATTCAAATGTGTTTGATTAAGATGATGTGTTGGACATCTCATAAGCATCATGGACGTTCTCTTATATAGTTTATTTTGAGTTTTGACTTTTAGTGAATAAAATATAGTTTTGTCTTTTACTTTTTTTAGTGTTTATTGTGATATATTGGAATAATATAAAAAGTTATTAAGTTTTGCGTATTTTTTCCAATAAGATATTTTTTAACTTTTAATTATCTTTTTTAGTCAGAACTTAAAGAAAAAATATAAAATTATATTTTTAAAAAGGATGGGCCGGCCCGTGGGGGCCCGCAGCCCACATAGGGCTGGGGTGGGCTGACCATTATAAGGCTCATCAAAATGGTGGGCTAGCCCCGCCCAGCCCGTCAATTGCTAAAGCCCATGTGATTGACAGTTGTAATGCATTCAGGTATTGAGCACTTCTCATAACAGCTAAGCATCTCAAGTATTTCTTTCTTTGATAAGTAAACATATCGATTTTATGAGATTCCAAACAACTATTAATAGCTGTACCAGACAAAATAATCTGCCTAGGATATATCCAACTAAAAAATGAGTGCTGACAAGCTCCATACAGTTTGCCTAATAGTTCTCGAGTTTTATTGAACAGTTTGTCAATAGCTATCCCATTCAGAATGTGCAAGCAAAATAGAGCAGTACTCCCTTTGTTTCAATTTATGTGACACACTTTCCTTATTAGTCCGTTCCGAAAAGAATGACACATTTCTAATAAAAAATTAACGAAGTGAAATATCATTAAAAGCATTCACAAGATGCAAAGATTACAAGAGAGAAGAATCTGACAGCTCAAATGACACATTTCTATATTTGAAAAACAAAACTTTTCATTTTACCTATTTTACCCTAAATGAGAAACTTTTACAACCACACAAATTGAAGGACACACAAAAACTTTTACCCTTTAAGCTTTTGAAACCACGAGTTTAAAAAGTCTTTCTTTTTTTCTTAACCTCCGTGCCGAGTCAAACTACGTCACATAAATTGAGACGGAGGGAGTACACCAGAAACTATATAACTATTGGAGTAAAGAAGTCTCAAGACACACAAAGAAGTTAATTACTCTTACTATTTTCAAGCCATAAACTCTTAGGGCATCTCCAACCCTTGCACCATTTTTTTACACCAAAATAGTGCAAAGTAACTCCAATCCATTACACTATTTTTTACACCAAAAAAGAATATTCCTTTTATATTCTTCTTTCTCTTCTATATTATATTATTTTCTTTATAAAACAAATCCATTCTTTTTTCTTTCATATTTATCCCATATAATTCATATTTCTTTCTTATATAACCAGTTAATATAAAATTATTTTATATCAGTCGCTATTGTATTAAATATTTGTTTTTATGAATATCAATGAGCATTGTGTTATTTATTAACAACATATTATATTTCAATTTTGTGCTTTTCATTATTTTTTTTTGATGGTTATATATATATATANCCAAATTAAAATATAAAATTAATATTATAAAGATATTACATAAAAATTATAATTAATTATAAAATTATAATATGTTAAATTAAAAGTGTTATATGATAAAAGATAATATTAAAATAATGGTGAATAGTAATGGTGTTGATGAATAGTGTTACACCAAAATGAATAGTGTTACACCACATACCAAAATGGTGTAAGAAATGGTGTTGGGGTGGAGCAAAAAAACACCAAATCTTACACAAATAGTGTTGGGTTGGAGATGGTTTTATCATGAACTGTAAGCAAAGAGGTCAACTGGCATGCAGCGAAGTAACTAAATGCAGTAAGATAGCTCCAGACCAGAAGGCTCATTTGTAAACTGGATACCTTTTACAATCATATATAACAGGGTACACTGGTGAATTCTCGATTATGTGCAGAAACTTCTTCAACTTCAAATCCGACTGTAAATTCAGGGCAGCAATGTGTGAGAGATGTTGTTAAAGCATAAAATTAACTTCAGTAAATCTTCAACATAACACCTAAACAAGAAACAATAATAATCAGACTAAGAATAAAAGCTTAAGTTGCAACTCACTTTGTAAAATTCCATCAGCTCATCAGCTCTGAAGTTTCTGGTCTGAAGAAACAACCAATTTCAATATCAGCATTAACACCAACATAACCTAGGCCAACTGCCAAAATAAAACCACTTACCTGCTTTAATGGCACAAAATTAATTTCCGAAGGAGGCAAAGCCTGAAATTAGAGGGGCAAAAGGTTTCAGTATCCAATCAGAAACTACTTAGGAAAAGAACGCAGTACACGAAAATCAGATTTACAAGGAAAAACCAGGCTGTCACTCTAAATTTAGAGCTAGTAATACACGGAAAACTTTGAATTAAGTATACCAACTGGTGTATACCTCATATGTGAAAGGTCCTTCAATTGTATCTAGGTCATGGGTACCAATTGCCACCAAGGTTCTTCGCCTAGGAAAAGCAAAAAATAGAATAAACAACAAGGACCTAAGCGTGAGCAGGAGAAAACATATGCAGGATTTTTATAGATATAAATAATGTGATTCCCCACAATATAATTCAGGAATTATTCATAATAGTTTTGTATGGACACTGCTCAGGGAAAAAGTTCAATATTGACAACCCATACGGGTTGGCCAAAGTTCAATATTGACAACCCATACGGGTTGGCCAAAGTTCAAATTGACAACCCATAAGGGTGTGGTCTGGTAGTCGACGATGATGATGATGACAACAACAACAACATCAACAATAACAACAACAACAACAACAATAACAATAATAATAAGAAGAAGAAGAAGCACCACCACCACCACCCAAGGGTGTGGCCTAGTGGTCAATGAAGTGGATTAAAACATGGGAGATCATGGTTCAATCCCAGCAAAGACAAAAAATACTAGCTGATTTCTTACTCATCTACCTATACTTTGTTTAGGTAGAGTTATCTGGTGCATGTGCTAGTGGGAGCAGGCACCGATGGAATAGTCAATGTGCGTGCAAGCTGACCCAAACACCATCTTAATTAATAATACATTATGTGATAGAGAATTCTTCTAAATCCTATCTTTATTTATACCCAAATGGAGAAGGAATAAAGCAAAAGTCACGATTCATGGCACTTCTACTAAAGATCACGTCAGTATGAGAACTTGGAGGTTAGTAGCAAAGATACACAGTATACCGGTTGAGATAAACAAATGAAGGGATAGTTAAGGTCAATGATCCTCTACATCTAATGGAAGTGAAACAAAAAATACAACCCCACCCCCATCCCCATCCCACCCCAAAAGTAGAAATGAAAAGGAAAGAAATAGAGAATAACTTCTGTTCTCTGGATGCCTCTTTAAGCAATTAAATAGAATTCAGCTACTTTTTACACTATTTGCACACTTTCTCCTCAGCATGTAAGCCATTGCATCATCGATACACAAGTTTCCCCAAAATTCAAGAATTAAAAGATACTCCCTGCTTTCTATCTTTACATATTTTACAAATAGATCTGAAGATAAGGTTTACCAAAACTTGCACACATTTCGAATGTCACCTTACCCTTGACGCTAAGAACTTTGTAATACATTAACTTTCTACACTAAATACCAGACTATTTGCCTGCGACAGAGGTTTTTTTTAAGTACGTCTTGTGCTATTATAACTGCTCTTATGCTAGTATAACTGTGAGCTCTTCCTTAGTTTACAGTTTAACCCACAACAGAAAAACTGTGAGCTCTATCTTACTTCAACAAAAAATAAAAGCTTCTAACTGTTGTGCATTGATATAGCATAGAGAGGGCAGTATCAAAACGTACCCCTCTCTACCACCAAGAAGTTTTCATTAATGGGTACATCCTGAGTCATGTTGGCACGTAAAATTGGTCTCCAAAATGTTAGAAAATAAATGGTGCATTGTTAGTACAAGAGAAGACACACGCTTTATGTGTATCCCAGAAAAAGACCCATGCTCTCATCGAGGTGAAATATATTGTATTTCTTATCCCTCATAACCTCTAAAAGACCTTGAGAACATAACCCCATTTATATTTTTTGCTACAAATAAGTTAACGCGCATGATTAGAGTGACCCTTTCATATCATAATTTATCTATAAACTTCCAGTCTTATTTACTGAACAAGCTAAGGTTTCTAAATAATTCTTTACGAGTCAAATTCCCTTTAAAGGGGGAAAAAGAACTGAAGGGTATCCAACCCATGTACAGAAGCATCATACACGTATGGTAAGTTCAGGAAAACCAGTGCAAGTTATCTACTCACTGATTTCTTTATGAGAGCTAACGGCATAACTACAAATTTTTACGGTATTTTTACAGCCGAGAAATAAAAAGATAAAAAAGTATAAGAATTAATTCCACCCCCAAGTAACCGACCACTACTTCGAGATGTCACCAAGAAAAATTTAACATCACGCAGGACTAACAGAAACCAAAGCAACTAAAAGAGGTAATAGGAATTTCAGCTGAAAAGAATAGGTAAATAGGAATTTCAGTTGAAAAAGAAAAGGTAAATAGGAATTTCAAACTGCTCTTTATAGTACAGTACTACCTGCAAATGTTCTGATGCAGCTTATCTTGTAGATCAATGAAGCTATTGTACCTAGCCTCGTCAAATGTTACACCTCTTAAGACAGCGCACACAACATATGGGCGAATCTTGGATGTCTAAACAGGAAAGGACAATCGTTAACGCAATAAGAAAATTCTTTATAATCATTTTAGTTTCTTTACCACACATTTAGTGGTCGGCAAACACTTAACAAAAACATAGCTTTATCAAGTCGTACCTCTTTTCCGACACGCATTTCAAGCATAGATTCTTTACCAACATTTGCCACCTTATATGTAGGGATCGGATCAAGCCCACCAAATATTCGGAGAGCTTGAGCTAGCCCTTCAAGACAAAGCAAATCATATCTGCAATACCAATTTGAATGAAAACATATTACACTGCCAATGCCGAATTAGCAGCACTCTTGTTATGCTTCAAATAACGAATAATTAAAATTTCTAACAATCCCATGCCACTAAACAGAATTGAGCTCAAAATGCTAGTAAGCCACCACAGAGAATCAGTTATACTTATTTCCAAATATTCAAAGCATAACCAAAACCCCAAGATTTTCTACCAATTCAAGAAAATTCATTCTGCAATCTAATTATGAAAAGCACAAAGGACCACCTGTTTGCCGGAACTTCAATTTTGTATATAATCTCTCCATCATCCTCAGTCGCCTCTTCCTCCAGATGCTTCTCTTTTCTTTGCATTGCTTTTTCTGTTGTCTACATTTTTTTTTTCACACATGCATAAACTCAGTAGGAAACTAACAACCAATGCTTGGATGAAATAAACTTGCTGAAGAGAAGAACACATATGATTATACAAATTACTCCTCCCATCCCCAATCCCCATAAAAGTCACTGACCCAGAGTATAAAAGCTTTAAAAAAAGCTCAATTCACAACTTTTTGAAAACAAAAATCTACATATTTGGGATATTATTTTTTGATCGAGTAAGTTCATTTGGGATATTATTTTTTGATCGAGTAAGTTCATTTGGGATATTATTTTTTGATTGAGTAAGATTGTTTGGGATATTATTTTTTGATCAAGTTTGTTTGGGATGTTAATTTAAGCGGAGAAGGGTAGAGGGGCTGGCCCATTATCCATTCAGTATAGAACCATGTGGCACTAAACTGGAGCCATTACCCCCAAAGATTTCTTGGTTATAAAAAAAATGCATATTTGGGAACTATAAAGGATATTACTACTAAATAATAATTTTTCTAAAATTGTTAAAATATTTATATATATGATATTTTGAAAAAAAAAACATTCTAAGATAGAACAATTTGATTCCCAAATAGTAATGTAGTTTTCAAACAGGACAGGGGGGAGTTCATCAAAAAGGAACAAGTATGATAATTCAGTTAGATTTTCAAATATAAAAATAACAAGTATGATAATAAGCGGAATTTGGTGGTACTTACAGCCTCCTCGAGCTCAATACCGAACTTAAAGCACAATTCGTCGAATTCTTCATAGGCTGCAAAATTCACATAAAAAAACGAGGTCAATTAGATGCCGCAATTTTGATAGTGTGCGAAAGGGCAACAGTGGGAGAGAGAGAAAGAGAAAACTCACTATAAGTACAGCCTAGGGCTTCGAACAGACGGTCTCTTCCAACGCTGACGGTTGGCATGGTGGCGAACAATGGCGGCGGCCGGAAATGCGATGGAAAGAAAGGAAGGGTATTGGGAGTGAAGACTTGGCAGCTCCTATTTTTTAAGCTAAATCCAAAACAAAATAGGAGTAGCAAATAATATTGGTTCTTTTTTTTTATTTACTTATTAGGGCAAAACAAACATTAAGATAATTCAATGCAGTGGAACCCTTGAAAACATATTGATTTGACGCAGTGTATGATGGAATTAGAAAATCGGATTTTTCGATTACCTAACGAGTGACGAGAACCAACGGCAGAATCAGAGAGATGATTTGAGCTGGGAACTCCGGATTCGGTTCGACCCGATTCGCACCGGAGGAACAAAGGAAGAAGACACTGTAGAATACAAAAAACCAAGGGGAGTAGATTGTATTTTATTTGACCAATTATTTTACTCCATGGCGAAATACATAATTTATCCATTCACATTACACTCAAATCTCTATTACATACATGTTGACCACGGGTATAACTTTACATACCAAACTTTTCAAATGTGTGTCAATTACACACTACTTTTGACCAGCCTAATTAATATTCAATATTGTGTATACACGCGCTTATTTAAATTAAAAAACAAACATTCTTTAATTAAAATGGACAACCCGATCCTTTTTTGAATCCCGACCCAAAAAAGATCTGACCCGATCGATTAAAAACAACTCCTCGACCAGATTAACAGACATAATTCCTTTTTCACCAAAATGTTCTTCAGCCCTAACCTTTGAAGGCGACTCCGACGAGAACACATCTGATATTTGTTGTTGTTACTTTCGTCATTTTCAAATTAGTATTCTCATTTTAGGTTGTTCAATCGTTTTGATTTAGATGTGTGGGTCAAAATAGTTAGGGTTTATTTGGACCCGAATTCTCCATTCAATATGAACTCTAATACGAGAATTGACAGAAGAATAATTATGTATTGCACTTTAGTTGAACAAATATAATTAGCTTGAAAATATTAGATGTGGAAGGTGAAGATGGGGGTTGGGTTTTTCTAAAATTGGTTCCTCTTAATTTGAAGAAGATGAAAATGGTTACTTTTAATAAGAAGAAGATGAAGGAGTGGGCGTTAGGGTTAGGAAAATGGGCCCAATTCCAATAATTAGCCATTGTAATTTGTCAGGTGAGGCGGAAAATAACTTTTCACGGGCCGCATTGGTCGTGTTTCACACGTCTTAGAGGCTGGTCAAAAGTAGTATGTAATTGACACACATTTGAAAGGTTTGGTGTGTAAAGTTATACCCGTGGTCAACGGGTGTGTAACAGGGATTTGAGTGCAAGATGAATGGGTAAACTATGTATTTCGCCTTGTTTTATTATTCCCTTTGTTTGCCATAGTTGGTTGGCACCACGCACCGCCAACGCGCTTGGGCCCAATAATAAGTGTCGTCATTAACATTTTAAGTCCAAAAAATCACTATATTATATATTAACTAGTCTTACAGTACCGTATTAATTAGAACAAACTTTTTGAAAATAATATCAATAATATTCAAAAAATATGTTTGAATTATAAAATTAACAAAAAAAAAAAAAATTCCTAAACTGATAAATATTGGTCATATTTAGAACGTTGAATCTAGTTCCAATGGTTCTTCGTCTAGTTTGCTCCTATTATTTAATTTTATCAAATAAGTTTCTATTTTTCATTCTTTTAGCTCTAATCTTTTATCTTTTTAGTTCTTGTCATGACAATAAGATCTATATAAGAACTCACGATGTTTAAATTCAACATAAAACTTCTTGTTGATCGTATTGATTTTCTGGCTTGTTGTGTCAATTACATAACTGAATAATTAGAAAAACTGTACAAGTTGAAGATAAATTCCTATAAAATCAAAAGAAACTAATGACAATTAATAATTGTAAATATTTAATAGAAGAAATATGCCATTTGACAAAGTGTTAATGATTGAAAAGCATAATCTTTAAACGATGAAATAAAATTTGTGGAAGGAATCAAAATCTCAAAATAATGAAATGATAATCAATAATAAGAAGAAGAATTGTCAAGAATTATAAATAAACATATTCTTCTTGAAAGGACTTCTAATTCTGCAAATACTTTTTTATACACACAAATAGTTGTTGAGAGAAAGCTAATAAGCTCTTTCAAATTACTTAATATATAAAACACGATAGGGAGTCATTTTTAAAAGATAGAATATTGAAAAATCCCCTAAACTTGATACGTTATTCAATGTAGATATAAATTTATGTTGCTTAAATTAATTACCTTATAGACTTGACTATTTGTTATTATTTAATTACCCATATGACGTTAATATGACAAAGAGCATGGATACACTTACTTTTAGGCGTGTGAGAAAATAAAGAAACGAAAAATTAACTTTTAAATAAAGTATTATTCAACTACTGATGGTCACATAGTCATATATAATGATTTATTTGTTATAATTATGTACTCATTTCTTCTTGCTTCATTTTAGTTTACAATGAACATTTTACTTCAACTTATATTCGGTAAATATATTGTATGATTTTTTTATTGTACTTTTTTATTTTCATAAAATATATTTATACACAATTTATGTACTTGAGCTTGTATTGTTACGGTATGCACTACGCAACATAGAATGCACTTCAATAGAAATATGCAATTTAATTAGAGGTATAACTAATATCTTGTGATTATTGAAAAATATTTTCTACGATTTGTACAAGTAGTTACTATGTTTCATAGTGCCCTGAACATTATGCTTCTTCCCATTTTCTTGAACGTGAAGACCAGTTGGTTTCCAATTACTTAGAAAATGCAAAGCCCCTGCATTAAGATCAACTTTTGGTTATATATTTGGTTGCACAATTTGAATGTGTATGTTTATTTTGATTTGAAATTAAATGGCAAATTAGCCATTCAATTGGAAAAAGGAAAAGAACTATAGATATTCAATTGGGCAGACAATTTTATAGTACGAATATGTATTATGTTTCTTGCCATTTTCTTGGATTATAAAATTTATACTTAAATTTTTATTTGGAACGAATTTTATAGTTTTATAGTTTGAAATAAGGAGATGATTTATTTAAGGTGTAATATTAATTGATTTTGAAAGTCCAAAATATTAAGACTTCTTATATAGTCCATATAAGAAAAGATTTGATAATAAAAAAAATTAGTTAATTTTAAAGTTTTGAATATTAAGAGAATAATTAAATTAGAAACTTGTCCAATATGAAATCTCTTTTTAAAAGGTAAAAAAGGCAAATGGTATTTCATTAAGGGCCTTCGTACTTTTAATATAGTATAGATAGATATAGATAAATAGATAAATTTACAAAATAAATAATTTTGCTTTACTTTGTTGAATGTATATTGCTCATGATTGATTTATAAGATTTCTATAAAGTTTGTCCAACTTTTAAATATGTAATATAAGATTTTAACTTTTTCAAAAATATGGAAACTGAAATATACCAACCAAAAAAAAACATTAGTTTAGCAACGTTAACTTGTTATGAAAAAAAGGTAGTGTACAAACTCTTTCAATTATAAATTATTTATTTGTAAAAAAAAAATCATTAATATAGTACTAACAATTAAGTTTTTTTTATTTTGAAATACAATAAAATATACCAAACCAACATTCAAAAGTTACTCGAGCAGCCAACTTAAGAGCATTATCGGACCAACCAACTTTTACATCTATACAATCACCAATATCTTTTTTCTTCTTCGGAAAAAATAGGCGCTCAAGCACTCCTTTCACTCGCATTGATGATTTGCTAATTGAAGTTGGTGAGACCATAATAAATATAGACGATGAATGACAATAATAAATATAGACGATAAATGATAGACCATAATAAATATGACAATAAGATTACCATGTGCATCTACATGAATGATATGTTAATAAGAAGTTAGGTTATAGCCTACATGGAGAAAACCTAATTTCTTTTTTTCAAGTAATTGTACTGGAAGTGGTTTAAGAATAAGAAAAAACTTTAGAATCGGATGCACTCGCCTAGGGAAAAGGCCCTGACCTTGCTAACCAAGTATCAAAAAGAAAGAAAGAATGAAAGGAGAATATATCACTCACTAATATTTTGTTGAGAAACGCCGCATTGGATGGATTTTCATTCTCGATCATTAAGACATGCTTGCCTGGCAACTGGGGCTCCAAACCCTCAATTAGGGGTATACAAATCGAACTGGAAAATCGCATCAAACCGAAAAGTCATATCAAATCGATTAAAAAAATCCGAGAAGGTTTGATTTGGTTTGGTTTGGTATTGAGTAAAAAAACCGAACCAAACCGACATATAAATATATAATTTTTATATATACTTTTAAGACTTTTTATATAATTTTCTTTTAAAAAAAAAACTCTAGAAATGTTTGCAATTCTCTTATGGGATGTAATATTTAGTTAAATATGAAGTGCTCCATATTTATTAACTTTAAATAATGGGTTGTATGATTACTGTCACAACTCAATTTCCATTATAGGCTGTGATGGCGCCCAACACCGTTGTTAGGCAAGCCAACACTGTAAAACTACTGGTTTCCCGTTTTTATAACTTACTTAGTGGATAATATTTCCTCACTTGTTACAAGATTTAGAAATTTGCAATTGTAAAATGATTAAACGAAAGCAAATGAGTGCAAATCGTAATCATGAAAACAAATCCAAAATCATAAGTCTACTAATGTGTGTGCCAAGACCCAGTGTCACAAGTAAGTAGGCATTCTAGTAGAATATACAAAAGAATACTAATCTATTGTCTGAAAGGAAATAGACAGAAAAATATAACATAAGGAAGACTCCAGCTGTTGCAGAATGGCTCAAAAGGCAACTCACCGTGAAGTTTCGAGACGGGGATTAAATTTGCGCGTCGGACTGGTAACCAGATGCACCTGCCTTAGATCCTTTACAATTAAGTATAGAAGTGTAGCGTGAGCACATAAATAATATGTACCCAGTAAGTATCTAGTCTAACCTCGAAAAAGTAGTAACGAGGGGTCGACTCCGACACTTACTAAGGCCAACGATATGATAATATGAAGTTCTAGTTAAGCATGATATATAGAGATAACAATAAAACTCAGAATAAGAAAATAATTGAACAATCTTTTTACCACATTAAAGGACCAAATCACTTCCTTCATAAAAACAGTAACTTCTCAATTTAAGTGACAGAATACCATATATCAAAAGGGACTACCAATTCTATTATCACACACGAAGTTCGTCGAGGACGTACGACCGATCCAACATAAATATAAATTGTATATTGCCGAGGGTCAAACGACTCGATAGATGCATCTATTAACCTGCCGAGGCGAACGACCTGCTCTCATGAGAGTAGTGGAAAGAGTCACCCCA